TTCAATTCCTCCCTCACACTTGGCCACAGGGACACCTCTCTACCCCACATGCTCCTTCCCACAGCCTCTTGAGCCACGTGAGGCTGCTCACACTGCAGCTTTTCTCTAGTCACTGGGGACATTGAATTTTAAAAGACATTACAGGAATATCAAGTCTGTCCAGCCCATAAAAAAATGCATAGTTTGTCCTCCATATAAACAGGGGTGAAAACACTACCCTGTTTTCACTGACAGTGCCTTTTACCACTGTCACAAATTCCTCTGGCACGGCGCAATAACTTACAGTGGAATAACTTCATTTTTGCTTTGCTCAGCAACCTCCAGGTCCTCAGGAAGCAAATGCCAACACCTCTCCTGAGCACCTTAGTCCAGTAAGTGCTCCAAGGCATTGGCAGTTCTGGGTAGGAGTTGATATAAGAGTCCCTCTTTCTCTCTGAACCTGCCAAAAAAAGGTGCCCTGCTGATGCCTAAGGGCAACTGGCTTTTTTACTGCCCATAAAACAATCCTGCAGCAGAAACCCTCTGGGCTGGGAGCGTGGCCTCAAAATGTTCTTGCTACCCAGGGGTGCCAGGAGTCCTAAAACAGACCTGCCCAGCTTCTGCTTTTGTTTGTTCCTTGTTGACCAGAGGCCTCAGGTGAATTATTTCTCTCACTCTTAGTTCTTAGACTTCAATTTTTTTGCAGGGACCTTCCATATATCACATCCCCCTTTGCCAGTGAATCTTTCCCGTTCCAACAGTTTAGTGTGGCCCAGGATCAATATATCTCAGCATGCAAGGACACGGTGTTATTGTCAGGTTCCTGGCTTGTACAAAGCAAAAGGTATCACTTTCTTAAAGCCACTGAGAGATGCCCTAGGCCAAGTACAGTTACCCCTCAGCCATTAAACAGCTGCATATAGGACTCTGGCTAATGCCCCTCCACTCTCACTATGGATGACTTGTTCTAGTCCTCAGCGACCCACAGCCCACCCTCACCTTCCTTTTGGCTCACCTTGGACATCTCAACCCAGACCTGGGGGCCATGTCAGCAAGGCAGTCTGGCTTCTCCTGGCTGTCCTCACTCTTGACACAGGAGCATTTAGGGGGACATGTGAGAACACAAACAGGGGTACCCCTGTGGTGCTGCAGGCCTTGAACAGCACCTGAACCAGGTACTGCAAATCCCAGCTCTGCCCACCTGGTCATTTGGGCTGTAGTTGTGACATAAACCAGATGAGTGTCACAGGGTGTCTTGGTTGGGCTGGGATTAGGTGACCTCTTCTCTCTTTGGATTCTAGGTGGGAGAGGAAGGGAAAAGTCATGTAAATGCTCCCTTCCCTGAAGGTATCTGCTTGGCTCACCTCCCTAGCAGCATCTCTAACATCCATCCTGGCCCTGGACCACTGCATTTCTGCAGTTATTTACATTCCTCTGCCTTTGCTGAAGCACACATCCCTGTCTGCGAGGTCCAGGCTGGCCCAAGCTTTCCGGTTTTTCCCCCTTTCCCCGGAAAGCTTTCCGGCCCATCGCCACGTGTTGGTGGCCACCCAGGAGACGCTTTGATCAGCTCAGATGGGCAGTGCCGCCAGGAGGCTTTGCAGTCTGCCCCAGCGCTGCTGCCGAGCTGCTGCTGCAGCAGGGCTGTCCCCTCTGAGTCCCTGACATCCCCTCTGAGTCCCTAACATCATTCCAGGGTACCTTGCAGATATTGCTTTTATTTCAGCTCCGTCTTCAGCTTCACTTAGTTTCAGCTCACTTTGGTTGACTTTGCTTTGTGAACACTGTCCTCGCTCCTTGAAAATTTAATGGGAACCCACAACTGTAATTTCTCTCCTGAGCTGCACCGATGACCACATAGGTCAGACAAAAGCAAGAGGCAGTGGTTTATTTTTACTGTACTTTCAACGTTTTCAGGTGATGCTTTGCTGCAGCCCCATCCACCTTCAAACCAAAATGCTTCCTGGGATTTTGCAAGACCTTTGGTGGTCAGTGCTGTGCTCTAGAGGCCTTCCTATCCCTCTCTTTCTGCCTCCCTGCCTCCAGGTTTGCCGCGTCCTTGGCTTTATTGGTCCTTCTCCTGCTCCCCCTTGCCGGCCCTCCTCGCAGACAGTGCCAAGGGCTGGAGTTTGGGGTGGAGGCAGCTATTGTTCCAGCTATCTGCAGTGTAATGTTCCTTATGACTGTATTAAATGAAGGGCGGAGGTCACACATCCCTAGTTTAAATTAGGTTTCGGCTGACCTTTAACAATATTACACTCGTGGATCCTCTCATAACTCACCGAATAAACTCCCCGAGGGTTCTACCACCTCACTCTTTCCTTCCTACTGTAAGGATGCCCGAGGCTTAATGTGCTTCTCTCCAATTTCGCTTTGATTTCTAATCCTATCCCCTTCCTCCCCCCCAATACAGATATATTCACTCCTTTAAAGGTGGGGGGAAAGAACCTGTTCCTTTTCTCTTCTGGGAGACAGCTCTTTCTTTTGTGTCTCTTTCTTCCCTTCCCCGCCCCCCTCCTCTTTCTTGACACAATGCACTATTTATTTGCACTGAAGGATAACTAAGAAGCAATTAAAAGATCAAAAGGCACAAACACAAGTAGATCCAGTGGCAACTTGTGGGGTTTATTTTGCTGTGGCTGCTACTGCTGAATCTTCATCAAACTGCTGCCGTGTTTTTCCCCCAGCCAAAGGACACCTCTCTTACTTGGTCGCCTCTTCCTCCAAACCGACTTTTTTATGATCGCTATTTTTCACCCCCATTGTTTGCTATTGCAGTTGTTTACTGGAAAATCACTTGTTTTTCTCAGGGAGATTAACCCTCCAAGCTTTCTTTTGTCTACTCTCAGGAGGTCCTTGTGGTGAGCTGGGGGAAGGGAGCGGGGCTCCTTCAGCTATTAACAGTAGCTTACAGCCCTGCTGACCCCCCTGCCAAGGTTGGGTCCTTTCCTTTGATGGGTTCTGCTTTTGCAGGGAGGAAAAGGTGGCTTGCTCTTTGTTAAGACCACCTCTGCTGAGCAGTTTGCGAGGACCCACAACTCGGATTTACTAAGTCCTGGGCATCTAGGAGAAGCTCCAAAAGCCCAAGGTAAGGAGAAATCTGGAGCTCTGGCACACGCCGGCAGATGCTCAGTCTCGTTGACGGCCAGGTCACTCCTTTACATTTTAAAATATCAGCGTAGGAGCTGAGAATTGATGCCCGTGGTTAGTCTGATGTGCACGGAACTGCTTCCTCAGCACCTCCCAGATGTGCCGATGTTTCGGTTGCAGCCTAGAGCCCTGACACCGGGACTGCTGGGTGGGATGCGCAGGGACACATCCCAGAGAACAGCACAGCAAACAGAAGGATGCTCGGGAGCAAAGGAAGGGATGCCCAAAGCCTAGTGAGAAAGGATAATATCCTGCTCACGTTTTCTTGGGCACGTTTAGGGCAATCCCGACTGCTGAGAGATGAAGCAAACCTCCGATCTTCGGAGGGAAAAATAAAGTACAAACTTGAAAAAAAAAAAGGGGGGGGGTGGGCTTTTATTTCATGCTGGGGTGAGGACTGCTGCATCCTTGCCCTTTCGCAGCACTAGCTATGGCAAGCGCTACCTGAGGTGGGCCAACCTGCCGCTCGGGTCTCAGGTAGCCCCGCTCCATCCGCTCCAAAGAGGGTGCGCGCCTGTGGCGCAGCCTGATACGCGTGTCCCTGCAGAGGGGCACCCTCCGGGGCAGCGGAGGCTGCCTTTGAAAGCCAGCGGGGTTGGGGTTCCTTCCCCTCGGAAGGCAGCTCTTCGGGAGCCGATGCAGCCCGCTGTGCCCGCCGTGCAGCGGCGCGGAGCCTCGGGAGCGCCTTCTGCCCGCGCTGCTGCACACGCTCGGCACAGCCTGGGAAAAGTCCCTTCGGCTCAGGGCCGGCACTGCTCGCCTGCAGCAGCCGGCGGGAAGCACAGGCGACCCGGCCAGCGGGGACCGCGGCGGGAGGGTGCCCTGCGAGGTGCAGGGTGCGGGAGCGAGGGGCAGCGCCCATGCTGTCCGCACGCACACGCAGGGGTGGCCGCGGGGGCTCGCTGCCCGCGGCGGGGCAGGCACGGCGGCCGGGCGGCAATGCCCGTGCCATTGCCGGCAGCTCCTCCGAGCCCTTCGGCGGCCGGCGCCGACACCTGTGCCCGTGTGCACCCAGAGGGGCACCCGAGAGAGGACGGACCGGGCCATCTCCCCTCTCCCACCCCGCCCGGACTCGGGGCTCGCCGCCTCGCAGCGAGAGGCGCTCAAGGGGTGCCCCCCGGTATTTTGGACAGGGGCTCGGGGTGCGGATCCACAGCTCTTCTCTTCACCTGCGGGGCGGCCGCGGATGCGCGGAGCCCCCCTCACACCCGGGGCCGGCAGAAGGGGTAAAGCTCCCATCCCGGGTAGCGGCACGCAAAGAAACCGTGCGGCAAAAACTTTCTGTCCCCTCTTCCCTCCCGAGCTGGACTCCGGAGGGTTACGAGGGAGAAGGAGGGAAGAAAGGAAGGGAGGGAGGGAAGAGAGGGGGTTAGACCGCTCTGCAACATTATTGGCTGCGTGGCCGGGCTGGTGCTCGCCGGGAGAGCATGCCCATTGGGGGGGTATAAAAGGTATAAAAGCTGGAGCGCCCTGCTTGTCTCCTCGCTCGTGGGGCAGCAGCCGGTAGCAGCGGGCAGCGAGGCAGCCGGCCCCTTCGCACCGACCAAAGGGACGCACTCAGTAAACGCAAAAGTGAGAGCCACCCAAGGGGCAGCCAAAGCAGGAGAGAAAGAGAAGGGAAGAAAAAAAAAAAAGGGCGAAAAACAACCCAGAAAAAAAAAAAAAAAAAAGAAAAAGAAAAAGGAGAGGAAAAGAAAGAGCGAGCGAGCGCTTTCTCTAGAATAACAGAATACCTGATCGTAACAAAATAACATCCTTCAGACAAAATCCAGCAGGGACTTGACATACCAAAAAGGCAAGGCGAGGAGAACGTGCCAGGGCGCGGGGAAGGCAAGCCAAAGCCGCGATCGCTGCCAGGGCAGGAGAGCAGCATGTCAAGCGCCGGGGCACACACGGATGAGCGCTGCCGGCAGCCCGCCTTCCTCCCCGGCCCGCCGCCGCCGCCGCAAGAAGTTGAGAGCAGCAGCGGCAGTGCCAAGGTAAGCGCCGCTCCGCGCTGCCCTCCGCGGGCAGGGCACGGTGGGATTGCCCGCGCCGTGCCGGGCAGAGCCGCTCCGCGCCGCGCCGCGCCGCCCGGGCACCGCTGAGCCATCCCGACCGCGCCGGGCAGAGCCGCGCCGGGCAGAGCCGCGCCGTCCCCACGCGTGTCACTAGAGGGACCCCGAGCGCCGGGCCAGGCGCGGGCGGCGGGGCGGCCCCGCTGCGGTGGGTGCGCGGGGTATCCCGGGGTCCCTCCCGCCCGCCGCGATGCTGCCCGCCGCGATGCTGCCGGCCGGGCCGTGCCGGCGCGGTCCCGCGTGGGGAGGAGGCAGCGGCGGGGGCGGCGGCGCGGCCGTGCGGGGGCCGGGCCGGGGCTATGCGAGGTCACGCAGCGAGCGCTGCGCGGCCCCCGCTGCCCGCGGAGCTCCCTCCGCGCGGGGCGGCTGCGGCAGCGGGAGACGCGCGGGGAGGGCACCGGCGGGGCCCCGGCTCCGGAGACCGGCGAGATGATTAAACTCTCTTCTGCAAAACACTGCGGTGTGTTTGGTCTCGGGAGGGATAAAAATACAGCGAGGAAAAACAAGAAAGCGAAGCCAAAATGGAGTGAGAGTTAATGGTTGGCGTGCAGCCTTCGACTTTCTGTGATTTTTTAAATATTTTTTTTTTCTTCTTCCTTCCCAGTTGCTTTTCCCTACAGTAATTGTTTTAAGAGCGCAACTTGGAAAGGTTTTAGCACTCTGTTGAGCAGTAGGGAATTGGGGCACATGAGGGAACTCGGATTTAGCGTAACTGTACCAGCAGATGTGGCTGCCTCCCCTCCTGCCAAGGGTGCTTCAGCGGGGTTGCTGATACGCCAGGTCTCGCTAGGGTGGTGTGGAGCAATCAAGTGTAAAAACAAGGTTTGTGTGGGTGGTTTTAAACAAGACACCTCGGGAGAGCCTCTGCTTTCAACCCAGGCTTCCTATACAAAATTTGTAGTTTTCTTTCAAATGCTGGGATGTGCCTGGGAGACTGAGGCATGTTTTTCTTTGGGTTTGTTTATTGTCAGATTGTGTGTGTATGTGGGAGGCTTTTTTTTTTTTTTTCCCTTTTACTTTGCAGGGTTCAATGTGTTGGGATTTTTATTCCTCCTCTTGCCTTGATTTAGAGTGGAGTTGAGGAGCCTGGGTCGTGGGGTTTTGTTAAGGATGACTTTGTGCTAAGGACATCTGGAGGTATAAAACTGACTGACACTTCTGATTTGACTTCCACTGTGCTGTTTTGGACCCAACTTGACAATTTTGGTGGGGGTGAATGGGTCAGAGCTGTAAATCTTGTTCCATGTTGTTGACACCCACACAAGTTCACTCAGCCTTTCAAAGGGGCTATCCCAGCTCCTGTGAAAATTCATTAAGGGATAAAAGATTTGACACCGCAGGTCCCCTCCCACCGCTGCATGAAATTTGAGAGCCAAAATGTGTCTGCGTGTGTGTCCCAGCGCTCCTTCTGACAGGTGATCTTTTTTTCAGCCTGGCTGGAGGGCTGCTGCTCTGACCAGTCAACCCAGAGTTGTCAGTGTGTGTCTTCCCCTCGATTCCTATAGGCTTCAGCATGAGCCCAGCTTGTCTCACGGAGCACCAGAGAAAAGCATTTCTGCACTTTTCTTTTTTTAAATAAAGCAAACACAGCAGGTGAGGTCTTATTTTTAGAGGGACCGAGGAGTTGGTGCGTTTCCAGCAGTGCATACGAGCACTGTAAGTGGCCCACCCTCTCCCAGCTCGTGTCCTGGGGCTGACCTCTCCGATCCTTCTTTGGATTGTCTTTGCTTTTAAAAGCTGATGAGTGTCTTAGCAGGGAAAGCGATATCGGCCTCCCTCGGCATGCTTGTGAGAGGGGTCACGAGAGGTGGGGGGCGCCAGGGGAGGAAGTCTGCCTTGGCGCTGCAGCCCGGCTCTGAAGGGGTTAAAGTTGCTCTGCCAAGACATAAAGCAAGTTCAACGTGTTGTGGGAATATCATTTGCCAGTAGACTCCAGTCACCACAGTTCCTGATTTAACAGCTTAACTTGCTGTTAACTTTCCCTGATATACTCCAGGTTTTGGAAGGGAATGCAGAAAGGAGAGAGGAACAATAAAGAAAGGAGTTAAGTGAGGCTACTAAAACAGACTTAAATCCCTTCACTGGGTCCTGCCAGCTGTATTTAGAAGAGTTAAGCAAGATTGCATTTCCTTTTTTTTTTTTTTTTTTAATACAATAAATCAAATATTTCTGGGCTGCATACCAAAATTTATGCAATACACTCTTACTCCCCAGTGGGGTGAGTAAATGGTACTGAATACCCCATTCACCTTTTTCAGCTTGATTTTTCCACAGGCACAGTAGCTCTCCTGCAGCACGTATAGGCATGGGGTGCAGGCAGCACTTCCCTGCCCCACAGGCAGAGGAGGCAAGTGCCTCTCCAGGCTCACAGGGTGGAAGGCAGAAAGGTGACCCCCCTCCGGTGTGGGCTGGGGTGGGCTGCTGATGGGGATGAGCAGTGAAGACAAAAAAGTGAGGGCTAAAAATAGCAGCAGTATTGCCAGCCTCAGCCATATGAATGTCATGCAAGCCAGGTGCCAAGAATCAGAAGGTATTTTATTTTTTTCAAGCCTGAGCTAAATGGCAAAACCCCTGGTCCTCCTGAGTAGTTTTTTATTAGCTGACAACTCAGTGGTCAAAAGTTTTGTGTTTTGAAGTTTGCTTCTTCCAAGCTGTGGGTGGTTGGAAGTCTCCTTTCTGTTTCAGATGAAGAGAGAGGCTCTTCTGTGGCACAGCACGAGGTGATTCCTCTGGCTTCAGGTATTGCTAGGCACCTCATCCCTGTGCCTCTGCCCAAGATGTGGCTCCTGGGTGGTTTCAGCTGCCAAGGCACCTGCCTCTCACACTGGCTTCCACTGTGCCTTTGCTCCTTGGCACCTTGGGGCGTCATGGCCCAGCGCCCTGTGCCAGGTTGGGCTGCCCCGTGAGCAGGGGTGGCGTTCTCTTGGCCCTTGAGAGGTTGGCACATGCCCACATCCTGCTCCTTTGGGGTTGCCATGCTCAGAACCGGCTCAGCTCCCCACTCTCCTGGGGCTGGCCACAGAGAGGAGTAATGCAGAGAGGCAGATGTTCAGCATCTCTCACAGGCAGTCATCAGACTAGCAAAACATCAGTCTGCCCTTTTTATTTTTTTATTTTTTTTTTTTTTGAAGGGGTGGAGTGTGAGGGATGCTGGGATGTGCAAACTGGGGTTTTCCCCTCTGACATGTGCCACTGGGTTTGGGCTGATGACTTTTCTTTTGCTATGCTCCCTTTTAAACGCTGCACTGCTCCACAAAGAAGCAAGATTTTTGTTTTTTCTTTTCGCTGTCCAAATCCAAATTTTACAGACTGGGCCATCTGTCAATTCCCTCCTACGTTGTTCTGTTCATATTAAATTGCAATGAAGGCCAGACTGAAGAAGGAATTAGGTCAGACAGGAGGTTTTGTCTCTGTTTTTGGGGAGATATTTGTTGCCCAAGAGGCATCATGGTTTGGTTTGCTCAGCACAAGCCTGGATGCAAGGGATGCCTGAGCTGTACTCTGAGACTTGGCAACTGGGCCTTTTAGCACATTGTGGCCTCTTGGCCCCCAACTCCCCAGCAGCTGGACAGAAACTGTCGATCCAGCTGATTCAGCAGCAGATCCTGACAAAATCCTTTAACAGTCTCGGGTGGGAGGGTGACTCCACTGCAGACCTGCCCTCGGGCTCACTCCCAGCACATCACAGCCACTCAGACAGAACCCTCTCTGCTGGTGGGAGCCTGCCAAGAGGTGTTTGGGCATCCCTGGCTGTGGGTGCAGTGCCACAAGGCAGGAATACACAGGAGTTCCAAGGTAGGAACATCCTGCACATGGCAGCCTGCAGCTGAACTGGTTGCAGTGTCAAACTGGCTTTGTGTGTGGTGCTGGGGATGAGAGGGACATGAGGGATGGAGAGCAAAGCAGACCCTCTCCAGAGAGGGAGAGGCCAGCAGTGCGTGCTGATACCTTGTCTGAGCTTGTTCTGCTCTGATCATGCTACTTCAGATGTGAGTTACTCAGAGGAGCTTCAGGTGTGATTCCCAGGATGGTCCAGGTGACCTGTGCAACCAAGAGATTCCTCTTGCATCGCCCTCTTGCACACTGTGGGCTCCAAGCCCTCCTGGGGAGGAATTTGGTGCTCAGGTTGTTGGGCATCTGGCACGTCTCATGCTGCCATCCCACTTCATCCCAAAGCCTTTGAGCTCTACCTGGGCATACAAAGAGCAGTAGCAGTCAGCATGGCTGGTTGAACCTGCTTTGGCAAGAATGGGACAGTGGTGGCTGTAGCCTCTCTTCTAGCAGAGACAGGACCTTGTCCTTTAGGGAAGTGTCCCACTTCCCTTCTGCTGCCTTATTCCTGTCCATTTCATGTAAGAGAGGCTTTCTAATAAAATAGGAAGGTTCTTCAACCAGTGGTGTGAATTTGCTCCTGTTCAACAGCTGAGGAGACCATGCCTGTCCTAATGCTTGGGACCCGAAACCGAAAGCTGTGCTGTCTCATGTTTCCAGTGGAGAATGAAGCCTTGGAGGTATTCACAGGGCTTAGACTCATCATGCTGAGCAGCCATTCAGTTCCTGCCACTGGTGCAGCTGGCATGGCGCTTGCACCAGCCAGGTCTGGGCTGCAGGTACCCAGCTGTGCCATGACACCCTCCTTTGGGGTGAGCAGCACCTGCTCTGGCAGCCATGGCGAGGTGGGTGCAAGCTATCCTGCATGGGTCTGCTCATCCCTGCTTGTGAGGGAGGGAAGGATCAGCTGAAAGGCTACTGGGAGATGCTGAGCGAGTGATGGCACCCTGGGAGCCTCTGTAGCCTTTGTGTGAAGTCTGGGGGCTTTTATTTGCAGAGTCAGTAGGGCCAAAGGGAGAGGGGAGGGTTTGCAGGGTTGAGTTGGGTTGCAGCTCCATCAAGGTGGAGGGAAACTGCAGCACTGGGTAGTAAATAAAGATGTTCTTTGCTTTGCTGCCTGGTTTCTCATTACACAGCTACTGGAAGGAGCAGGCAGACGCCAAGGTGACAGCAGAGGGAAGGGCTGGTGGCTGGTGCCTGGGCAAGGGTGGACTTGGTTACATTTCCACATTACACTTCCATGTTAGCCGTGCTCTGGATGACAGCACTGGGGCTCTCCCTGTTCCTGCTGCTTCAGGGGCGTTTCCTGGCCAGAGTTATGGGGTATTGTGGGCACCTGGAAGGAGCTTGCAGTGGAGGCAGGGAAGGCTGCCAGGGGCTTGCAGTGCAGCTTGTGCAGGAGCAGGTATTTTCTGAGGAGCACAAGTGTTTTTCCACAGAAGGTATCAGGTCTCCTCAGCATCAAATATCATCTGCTGACAAAATCTCAGTCTCCCCTTGCTTCAGAGCATCTCACCCTTTTCTTTACACTGAATGTGGAAGAAAAATGGCGTTTGTCACCTGTGCCACCAATCAACCCTTTCATGTCGGGTCTGGCTCTGGCTTGAGGAGGCCAGCATGCAGCCTGCTCATTAGCCACAGTGCCCACAGCCAGCATGAGCCCAACTGGGGATATGGGAACTTGTGGCTGTCCTGAAATCCCATATGAGTGCCTTTGATGGCAACACTGGCTGGTGGCAAATCTGTCACCCCAGCAATGACTGGCACTACCTGAGGCCTGGAGACACCAGCAATTGGGATCTGCACATTAAAAAAAAGGGCTGAAAAAGGGACAGGAACAGCGTGGTTGGTCTGTTGTCAGCTGGAGATCTGGCTCCTGACACTGCAGCACCAGGGGCATGACTCCAGCAGTGAAAGTGATGTTGTGTTCATGTTGGAAAGGCCCAATAAACAACTGTGGGCCACTTGATAAAAAAATAAATGAGGTGAAAAGGTGCTGGTGGTAAAACACTGCAGCTTGGCAGCATGGTGTCAGAGCCTGGTGCCATCCGTCTGCTCCTACTGTAATACAGAACAAAGTCCCTGCAGTGTGCTGAAGGGACCATTGCTACTGGAAAAGCTGGTCCTGGTCCCATCACTTTCTGATTTGAGACAGTTTGTTCCCAGGGCTGCTGCCTCTCTTGTCCAGAGCTTTGGAGGGCTTGTGCCAGTCTTGCTGATCTCTGTCAGCACAGGCTGAGCAATACTATGGCCATCAAAACTCAAGCAGGAGGAACGTCCCCCACAGCCCACCCAGACCTTGAAACCTCTGCTTTGGCTTTTCCTGCTGCTGATCCCTGTCCTCCTGCTGCTCAGCAGAGCTCATGACTTGTAAGCATGATGCATTTCTAGCAGTGACAATTTGAGCTACGTGCTACTAAAAATTCGGGAGCAAGGGTGTCTTTATTGCTGGCAGGACCGTAGTGGGGCCTCGGGGGACCTGGGCTAATTTCCTGGCTGCGCTGCAGACTTCCCCTGTGACCTTGGGCGAGTCATTTAATCTATCCTGGGCTTCAGCTCCATCTCCGAGCATCCCGGGGGGGTGAGGTAATATTCATTAACTGATATTATTCTCGAGCTGCTCAGATGCTATGGTGATGAAAGCTGGATGTGAGACCTAGTGTCTTGGTTGAATATTAGCAAGGAGAGAGGATGCTCTGCTTGAGATTAGGGTTGCCACCCACCGTCTGCTATTTTGATGTGCATCTCTTCATTTTGAGCTTACCTGTCTGGTCAAAACTCAGTGTTCTTTGGCTGCATGCGTACTGTGAGGCTCATCACTGAGGGACTATAATGCCTTGAGCCATTCATGGGTTTTGCCCCATCCAGTGGGGCGATAGCACCCTTGCTTTACACCTGCAGAGGCTGACACGGAGGTAAAGCTGTTTGCAGGAGCTGAGTCTTTGGGCTAGTTAGCAAATATCCAGGGAGTTTCCTTTTTAGTGCTCTGCACTGTCTGACACTGCCTTTACCCTCCCTAGTGATGCCTCAGGTGTGTTTCCCATGGGACCACACTATTCCTGAGGGATGTCTTCTCAGTACCGACTCATCAGCAAACACAGCTTGTGCAATCAGCCTCTTGATTGCTTGAGCCTCATCTCGCTCACATGCCTGGGACGAAAGCTCTTCTTCCCAGCTTTCCTCAAAAGCAGCTCTAGGACAGGTTGAAGCTTCACTTGATTTCACTTTGCACGGACATGTTTTCAGACAGGGCATGAAAACCTGTCATCAGAAGAGGAAAAAACAACACCTACTAATAATAATTTGAATAAATTCCCTTTTAAAAGGGGGGGAAAATTAAAAAAAAAAAAAATCACGCCGTTGAAAGAGCAGGGGAAATAAAAGCCTTTCAGAGGTAGGCTGAAGTGGGATTTTCCAATGGAAAACCCGCCTCAATGCAAACCTTGTCTGGCCGGCGCTGCTGCCCGGCGGCCGAGCGCAGGGAGCTGGCCTCACCCCAGCCAGCGGCTGTCACAGCGCTGCCGCTCCTGCCCTGCAGCAGCAGCAGCAGCAGCAGCAGCATCCCGGCATGGCTGGGCATCCCCTCGGTGTGCTGCGGGCAGGGGAGGTGGCAGGGGGGGTCTGTCCCGCGGTGCTAACGCTGTGCCTCTGTCCCCAGGTGCCGAGGATGTGCGCAGCCAGGCGGATGCTGCTGCTGCTCCTGGCCTTCCTGGCCTACGCGCTGGACTCGGCGGCCGCCTACGGCACGGCGGAGACCCTGTGCGGCGGGGAGCTGGTGGACACGCTGCAGTTCGTCTGCGGGGACAGGGGCTTCTACTTCAGTAAGTGCTGGGCACTACAGCAGGCTGCCCCCAGCCCACACCTTGGCTCAGCAGAGCCGGGCCGGGAGGGAAAGGAGGGGTTCCCCAGCCTGATGCTTTTCGGGATTTCCTTGTATATGGCAGCAGGCCAGGAGAGGAGGAAGAGAATGGACACGGTCAGGGTGACAGGCATCCACTTGGCATTGGTTTTGGGGACTGTCTGGTACCATGAGGAAGCTGGGTCCCACATGTAATGCTCAGGATAGTTGAATGTCTCTGGGGAACCATATGTGACTGGTTCACCAGGGAAAAAGAGAAAATCTTTACAATAGCGAGGATGTTTGCAGCCAGCGCTCTGCTGAGTTTGGGCCCTGGTTTATTTTGAAGCTTTGCTGCCTAAGCGTTGCAACCTGACAGCAGGCAGGAAGCTGAGCACTCTTCCCTCCCAAGCAGGCTTTGCCTGGGTATAGCAGCACCTTCTTGGCTGGTCCCAAAACTTTGTGACAAGGCTTTGTGACACCCCAGCTACCACTGGTGAAGTTGCTGCTGAAGAGTGATGTCTTACCCCTTTGCAGGGCAGCTAATGCAAAAAAAATGCAGCACTGCTGCTGTGTGCAGCGTGCAGATGGCTTCAGACCAGCTGATTGCAGTGGGCTTTCCACCAGGATGCTTTGGGTCTTTGGACCATTGGCATTTCAATGGATTACCTGGTAAACAGGGAGGATGAGAAGTAAACCAGTGACAATGGATGCTCAGTAATCTATGGGCAGAGGTGCCTCGAGTGTAATAACCTTGTTTTGGTGTTTCGGTGCCCTGCTCTGCTTGGGAGTGGGAAGACACTGTCTTGCTCCCCGCTGAGGACTGAGCCACAGGGTGACTGTCTACAGGAAAGATGCAAAGCCAAATGGAGGGGAAGAGAATGGAGATAACAGCTGCATATGGTGCTTTTGGCAGTCTTGTCTCTGCCTTGGGAAAATGAATTAAAAAGTCACTTTCAAGTAAACAGGGTGTTTTTTTGGAAGAGTAGATTTGAGCACCAGCCTCCCTCTTGCTCCAGTCTGATTGTGCAGGGAGCAATGGGGTGTTGCAAAGTTAGGAACGACTTTGGATGTCCTTTTCTAACCTGGATGTCCCTTCCCAACCTGGATGCTTTACTAGACTTGTCTCTTGCTGCCTGCTGATGTTGGGTAGAGAGAGGTACAAGGATCCCACACCCAGCCAAAGCAGTATTCAGGTTGGTAAGGGCTTCAGCTTCAGTTTTGGGCAGATGGTAAGGCTGCAGGTAGCTTTGCAGCTCTCTGGGGGCAATCCCCCTGCCCCATCCCAGCTGAGCAGCAGGATCTTCTCATGGCTTCCTGGGTGCTGCGGGCAGGTGGTGCTTGGGGTGCTCTGGGTGCACTTCCTCGCTGTGATGGAGCCAAGCAGTGAGGGTTTGCATGGCAGCTGCCCTTCCTCTCTTCATCTCCCCTTCTCCTACCGGCATGGCAAGGAAGCAAGTGCCTCTCCTGCTCTCACAGCTCTTCCTCTCCCTCTATATGTAGGGGAGCATCTGTCTCCCTCCCTGCTTTCTCTTCCCTCCTCCCTCTCTCTGGGGATGAAAGGGAATGGGGCTTTTGTTTTAAGGTCAAACTGACCTCCTTTCACCTCAAATAACCCAGCTGCCCAGGCCAAAATAAAAACACTTTTGAAGGCAGACAAGTCTCTTGGTGCCAAGTGGCCAGTCGGGTGCTTGCAAGGGGGTTCTTACTTTATTTCTTTTTGTCCCCTCCCATCTTTACCTTTTTGAATATTTCTGGTGAGCCCAGGTACTGGGGGTGAAACATAGTCCAATATTTTAACCCTTTCAGGATCTGACCAGCCTGTGCCATGCAAGGCTGAAGACATTTGGGCAATGCCTCTACTTGATGAAGGTTTTAGACACCCCCATTTCACATAATTTTTCCCTCTCTAAGCAATTATTTCTGACCATGTTCATCTTAAAACTGAGCCTGGGTTTGCTTTGAGCACCTCACAGCTTGGGATGTGTGACCTGATGAGCAGCCTGTTCTAAAGCAGCTGTTCACACAGGAAATAAATGACTTGGGGAGCCTCGTCCTGTGCATACCTGAGGGCCAGCTGGACAGGCTGGTAATACTGAAAAAACCAAAAATTGTATGAAAATCCATTATTGCTTTTTTTTCTGAAGCAATTATTTAAGAACTTGTGATGCTCTGCATTCTTGCAAGAGAGCACTTTGCTAGGGAAGCTGGCTGTGAGATTCAGTGATCTTGCATCAGTGCAAGGGGGATGCAGGCACAGATGGTGTCCTGGGAGGCACCACGGCTGGCAGGTGCTTGGGGCTGAGAATGCTGAAGCTGCCTCCAAGAGCTGGGGCTGCAGAAGAGCTGCACTAACAGGGGCAGGGCTGGCAGCACCGAGGTTACCTAGCCTTGGGACATGGTGGAAATGGTGATGCCAGCCCTGTATCTACCCCAGGCATGCATGGGCAAGCTAGAGCTGAATTTGAGCACGCTTTGCTCTGCACTGGTGATGCTTCCTCTCAGTGACTTTTAAGTCTTTTGGCTTGGCCGCAGCTGCTGTCAAGGTGGTGGCTTTGTGCCATGGCACTGTGGCAGGGTTGGTACCCCTGCTCCCCAGCAGCCACCCAGGGACAGCAGCGCAGCCCACAGAGGGATGCTGAGTCCAGCCTGGAGTGAAAAGCGGGGCAGGCCGAGAGGAAGCCTCAGCCCTGAAGTTGCTGTCATGCAGCTCTGGCAGGGAGGGAGAAGGGGCTGCAGGGGGAGAGGCGGCCGACTTCTCTGTAAACAACAGCTCCTGTTTCCTCCTTTCCAACAGCTGATAAGAATTTAGCTCTTTGCAGCCGCTTGTGCTGACGGGGCACATTCTTGCGCACCCGCCGCTCCTCCGAATAATACTAGGAAAAAGCAGGGGGGAAAGTGCGGTGCCGGGGTGGGGGAGGGCCAGGCCGGGGGCACTGGGACGGGGCCTGGTGCTGCACAAAGGCCCCCTTGTTGCTCCCAACATTCCTGCGACAGGGGCACGGGGACTGTTTACACCCAAAGTCCCCTTCCACTCGGCTGACCGCCTGATTGACCGGAGGAGAGGGGACCCAGCCAGGGTGGCACCAGCACCGTGCACCCCTCCCCACAGCATCTGTTTGGTGAGGGTGGGGAGCCAGGAGCAGTGGGGTGCTCATGCTAGGGAAGGGACCCTCCTGTCCCCCATGGCCGTGGGCACTGTGCCTCCTCTGGCACAGTGGCATAGCTGAGCTGCAGGTACGTGGCCTCTGGGTTTTCCCAGGAATGGGTTTGGCATTGTGCCACTTCTGGGATGCCCTGTCAGGAGAGCCTGTACCTAGGCAGGAATAACCCCAGGCAGCTGGAGGGCTTCACACTACCGGGCTTTGCATCACAGGACTTTGCATCTCAGGGCTTGTCCCCTCAGCAGCAGCGCTGTAGAAGGTTTTGGTGAAGCACAGTTTTGGGAGAAGGGGAGCCTGACCATTCATTGAAGGCCGAGAGGAAGCGAGTTTCCTCAGGAGGAGGAGGAGGTCGTTGCTGTGATGGGAAGTGGCTCGCGTGCCCCGGCGATGCCGCAGCCTGCTGCCCACGCAGTTCTCCCCTGTGGGCAAGGGATGGAGTGGCAAAACCCTCCCTGGGTTTGGCAGTGGCAGTACAGAGAGATGCCACCCATGGGCAAAAGCCAGGAAATTCAACCTTTAGTCCCTGTGTAAATTGTGTTACAGAACAAACGCTCTTCCCAATCCAGGTCAGCAGCAATATTGCTGTTAGCCAGCAATGTCCTGTTCTCTCCAGGTACTTTCTGAGACTAAATTCCTGTTTGTTATGTTTGCTTATTTTTTTTCCCTAAAGTAACTCTGCCCCGGAGGATTGTAGTGGCATTTGGCAAGGTCCGTACGGACAATTATGTAATGGAAACGTGCCCCATCAGAGAGTCACGGTGGAGCTGGCAGTGGTGCCGGCAAGGGGAACGGCTTGCAGCAGCTTTGTGCAGGAGAGAAAGAGCAGCACACTGGGGCTGGGGGCCACACATGTACCTGAGAGGCAGGCAGGGGCAGCAGTCAGGGAGGAAGAAGCTGTGTCAGTGTGGTGGTCCCTGCTGGGAGCTCACCCTGGTGGTGGCACACCTGGCATTTGCAAACACGCGCTGACGTGATCTTCCCGTGTGTACCAACACCAGAAATCGCCCTTGAAGGCACAGCAGTGGATGTAGTCCCGCTTTCCTCATTGTTTTTCTCCTCCCCTCTTCTTTCCAAACAAACACATAACTGCAAGTGGGAAACTTCTGTTTTTGAGAGGAGATATGTAACCTTTTTGAAAACCTCAACTTCTCCTCAAACCATGTGTGTCATCACTTGTGCAGCCTTCTGTTCAGCGGGAGTGTGAATGTAGCCCTTAGGGAATGTGCTAGCGAGAGGGGGTGACTTTAATTTTTTCTCTTTCCTTTCTGAACTCTCCTTCTGCCCATATCAGGATGCCTTTGTGGAGCAGCTTAATGCTTCAGCAGCCTGCCATGGATTGAGTTGGGCACTGGGATTGAGAGGACCTGAGCAGGGGCCATGTGCAGTGCGGGGTGTTGCTGGAGTGCACCTCTCCCACGGATCTCACTGGGCATTGCATGCAGAGAAGAATACTTGCAGCTGGCCCTAAGCTGGCTCCTGTCCCTGTCTCCTTTGGCCATCACCACCCAGGCTGCCTGCTCTGACACCACTTGAGCTGTGGGCACCCAACACATCTGCCCTACCTTTCAGGGAAGGGCCAAATCCAGTGTTTATTGACCACAAGAGAGAAAATTAAACTCCTAACAGTGATCTCTTCAATGAACCTTTGCCAAGGGAGAACCAGCCTTCTCATCTCCCTGTGGGGCTGGTTAAAGGTCATGCCTGAAGTTCTTCTAGAGAAAAAGAAAAGGAAGGTGGTGGCACAAGGGGGACGAATGTGGACACGAAAGCATTTGAAGTGACTCCCAGAGGCAGGTCTCATGGTATGGGTCAGCTGCCCCATCAACCAGCACACTGATGCTGTGTTTGTTTGTGCAACCTCTGAGCATGCTGGAAATACAGCAGCATGGACCAGAGGGCTCCTGGCCTATGGGAACACGACTGATTTTAACAGAGAGCAGGTGCCCTGCTGCCAGGCTATTGCAGAGGCAGCAGCGAGGCATTTTCATGGTGTTTTGCATGCCAGCATTGTGCACAGGGGGCTCCATTGTGCATGGAGAACTGTGTTGAATATGCATGCCTGCATTGCACATGTGGGGCTGCATTAACTGCACCCACATGCAGAACTGCATCCCACATGCACAGCTGTATTGCACATCTGGGACTGCTTCTCACATGTTGGCCTGCACTGTATGCATAGAGAACTGTGCTTTACAGCCTTTGTCCCAAGGAACTTTGGGTGGGCATCCAGAGTGGGATACCCTCCAGGGAAAGTGGTCAGCTCCATGTAAGCTCGACTTAGGTCTTCACCAAGGCCTAAGACTTGAGTGCCTGCTTCATCAGGAGTGCAGAAGTGTGGATCATGGGTCATGCACAGGGCCGGTGTGGGCAGTGCTGTGTGCTCCTGCAGGCAGCTGGGAGGTGAGGGCTCAGCATGCCACAGTGAGCAGTGCTAGGCATTGTGCTATACACCACTCACTCTCAGTTTTCCCTTTGCCAGAAATCACCTGGCTGGGATGTGGTACCAGATCCTGTTTGCAAACCCCACTGTTGCTGGCCTCTGTTTCCTTTACTCGGAGCACCTTGCCCTGGGAGGAGGTGCTCACGGCAGTGTGCAGCAGCCTAGCTGCAAACCCCACAACAGCACAAGAGCATAACCTGCTACGTGCAAAAGCATGGAGAAAATCCTTTTGTTTAGGGCTGGTTTATATTCTGGAAGCCCCAGTTCCCAAGCAAATTTTCTTTGCATCAGAAATTCAACTTTGCCCATCTCTTGTATTTTGAGAGGGGGAGGAAACATGGCAAAACTGATGTAAGCTTTTCCTCTGGAGCAGTTTGGCCATCATTAAGCAGTGATATGAAATGCACTTGGTCATTGCTGCACCAGGCATGGGTTTTTGCATCCTTCTGCAGGCAGAAATGGGAGAGGAACCCTTATTAAAAGATTAAGTTTAACAGCTATTCTTGGCGGGTGTGGGAGCCTGTATTCTTTCTGCAGCTGTCTCAGAGCTGTCCCATCTGGTAAAATTTAGCTGCCTTGCTTCGCTTCACCTGCCTGAGTGTTGATCCGGCGGAGGGAGGTTGGCAGCCACAACGCTGTGCAGCTTCTTTCTAATAAAATTCGCTTGCCAGGATCAACATCGGAGACGGTCGCAGTAATCGGCACGGCGCTGGCGGTCAGGCTGGGCTTGAGCTTCCTCCCCTCAGCTGGGCCTGAGAAGGCCATCTGTGCCAGAGATAGAGGAGGGAGATAAACCCCCATCATTTAAAGTGCCTTTAAACTGCTGCTGGAGGCACGTGTTGGCATCAGTAGCATTTGTCTGGGAAATCTTAACGTGACACTTGGCTGGTTTGCGCGTGAGTGTCAGCTGGTCTGGGAGAAGCACTGCTGTGTCTGAAGGATGCGGAGTCTCTGATGGCTGGTGGTGGAGGGATGCCTACAAGGAATTGGACAGGGGGTCCAGCCCAGGTTGGTGGCTAATGCCAGGGTCTCTGCTGTTGCAGGTAGGCCAGTGGGACGAAATAACCGGCGGATCAACCGGGGCATCGTGGAGGAGTGCTGCTTTCGGAGCTGCGACCTGGCTCTGCTGGAAACGTACTGCGCCAAATCCGTCAAGTCGGAGCGTGACCTCTCTGCCACCTCCCTGGCGGGCCTGCCAGCGCTCAGCAAGGTGAGGAGGCTGTGCAGGGATGGTGGCCCTCCTCTGAAATAAACAGAGAGAGAAAAGACAGGAAGGCCGTGGGTGGAGAGAACAAACCCCAGCTGCAAGGTCTTGTGTTTCTGCAGAGCTTTTGAGAGACAGCCACCATTGGCAAGTCGTGCCAAACAGCCTGCCAAAAGTCAGCTCTTAGTAAGGTGGGGAACCAGAGGTGGGCTGGGTCACAGAGTCATAGCATGGTTTGGATTGGAAGTGACCTTTAAAGGTCATCTAGTGCAACCGCCCTGCAATAAGCATCTACTGGATCAGGTTGCTCAGAGCCCTGTCCAACCTTTCTGTGACTGTTTCCAGGGATGAGGCAATATTTCCATGGGAGGGATGGAGGTCCAAGAAGGGAATCCCCATCTGGAGAGCGGGCAGGCTTGAGTGGAGGCTAATATTGCTGTCCCTCTCCTTGCAGGAGAGCTTCCAGAAGCCCTCGCACGGCAAGTACTCCAAGTACGACGTGTGGCAGAAGAAGAGCTCCCAGCGGCGGCAGCGGGACGCGCCCAACATCCTGCGGGCTCGCCGGTACCGGTGGCAGGCGGAGGGGCTGCAAGCGGCCGAGGAAGCCAAGGCGCTGCACCGTCCCCTCATCTCCCTGCCCAGCCAGAGGCCCCCCGCGGCACGAGCCTCCCCGGAAACGGCTGGCCCCCAGAAATGAACCCTGACCAGCCGTCTCGATTTTTGATCTCCTGGGGGAGGGCGGGAGGACTGGCGATTCCCGACCCCCGAGCCCCTCCGTCCCCAGGGCCGCTGAGCCGAGGAGCGGGACGGCGGGGCACCCTCACGCCGCTCCGGCCCCAACCAAACAACTGTCACGGCAAGGAGGGGATGGCGGCGGCGGTGGCGAGCGGCACCGCTCCCACGGCATCTTCCCTTTGGGGTGGGGGGGAGGGCTCTTTCGTTTCCCACACCTGTTTCGTTTCCCCACGCCCCCGGTATTTCCAAACCTGTACTTGCGAAGGGACAGTTTGGCACTTGAACTTTTTTGCTGCTGGGTGCTGCGTGACATCCCCGGTGCCAACGCCAGAAGACAAAAGAAAGAGCAAGAGGAAAAAAGGATATGAAGTTAAATCCTTTTTTTTAATCTTTTTTTTCTCTCGAAGCGTCCATTCCGTGTCTTTCTTGACAATAAAGTGAAAAAAACAATAGAACGGGGAGAAACATTGAGGGATAAAGATTTTTTGCCTCATTCCCACCCCACTTTTTTTCTTCTTTTTTTGTTTTTTTTTTTTCTTTTGGTTTTTCTTATTTTTATAACTTTCTTTTGCACCTTTAAAAGAAAAACGTACCTGAGAAGAAGTTCCGAGGAGCCCCCATCTGCGTTTTTGTGTGTGTGCTTCATTACAAGATTCCAAATCGACTTGCACCTTTTTTGAAATCACCGATGTCGGGAGAAAGAGAGGAAGAGGAGAGAGAAAGCAAGAAAGAGAGAAGGAAAAGGAAAGGGGAAAGAAGAAAAAAAGAAAAAAAGTGAGCTGATGCTCACTTTAAATGGAGGAGGCGTCTGCATTGCACATTTGCCACGGATTTAGTTGATTTATATATATAATATATTATATAACTTTTTTGGCAAAAAAGCACTATTTTTATGGGACATTTTGTGTAGTATCTGAAGAGGGATTGTAATGTTTAAAATGTGTTATGGTGCTAAAGTAAGTTGGAAGGGAAAAAACCCAGAAATAGCAAGGGAGGGTGGGGAGGGAAGGACAAGATAGCGAATACTGAACTTGAAATTTTAGCTTTTCGTTTTAGGAAAAGTGTGATAAATGTGTTTCTTTTCTCTTCTGAAATATAGCTTGGTCATGACCATATGAGCTAGTTGGCTGTTACTCATGTACACAGATGCACGCACACACAGAATACATCGACACGCATCCTTTTTTTTTTGTTTAAAAGAAACAAAAACAACACAACCACCGCAACTTAGACTAAAAGGGAACTCTTCTGGAGACAAACTATTTTGAATGGTGAAGGTGTTGCCAGTTAGAACTCAAGGCCCTGCTTCTGCACGGACCCCCTGGCCATGGAGACCCCCTGGAGCCCCTGGAGCTTGGCTTCCTGAGCTGAGGGGAATCTTGCTCTCCCCTGTCCTTGCTACAGTGCCGATGGTCCAGCGAGCAGGCAGGCAGGCAGCCCGCACACCGAGCCCCTCCAGAAGGAGCAGTTCCACGCCCTGCCGTCTCCTTTTCCTTCTCTTGCCCTTTGTGTCCTTCCGGCCGGACCCTGGCATCCCTGCCCTCCTCCCCTCGCTGCCCTCCAGGGTGTGCAGGAGGAAGGGCAGCCCCTGTGCCGGGGTGGCTGCAGGGCTGGGGCTGCTGCACGGGATGGGGAAAGGCCAGGCTCTGCCTCGGGACTCGGTCAGCAGATGGGTTTGAGAGGTGGGCAGAGGGCTGTAAAATAGGTTGGGTTTAAAATAATATATATTATCTGTCTAGAAACCGTAAAAGGGGGGGGAATCAATTACATCTCCCTAATATACTCTCACTTGCTAATAAAATGGGGACACTCTGTTAACCAGTTCTGTACTTGCTTTGTCTTATATATCCATACATTTAAAACATAAAAAAAAAAAAGACTACTTGAATTGTATTCTATTTCGTGGTTTGGAGGGGAGGGCTAGGGGAGTCTTGAGAGGGGGAGGATTTTAATGTATAATCCTTTTGTTTGTTATTACCTTGCAATGTTGAGCCATGAAGCCTTTGTTTAAAAAAATGGCACTGCAATACACGACAAAGAAAATCCTTTATTTATTTTATTAAATATATATGGAAAAGAATGAAAATCAGTCCAAATTAGGGAGGGGGAAAGGGAAGTGGGTGGGGTGGGAAGGCAGAATAAAAACAGAGAAATTGCAAATAATTGACTTTTTTTTTCCTTTTCATGTGTCTTTTTTTAAAAAAAACTTAGTTTTTATTTTTTAAAAAGAGAAGTAAAAGCTTTCCTGGATGCTTTGTACCAAAAAAGAAAAAATTAAAAAAAAAAAAAAAAAAAGAAAACCTGTTAAGCAAATAAATATCCATCCAGAATATGAAGCCTGACTTTTTCTTTTACTTTTCATTTACTTTTGCTCCTGGGGTGAGAGTTGGGTGGGAAGCAGGCCACACCAAGAGCCACTCCCTGTGGAGGAGCAGAGTGCACTGCAGCTCCTCTTTTCAAGCTCAAAACTGCAATAGAGCATGCGGTGCCCTTAAACTCAACATGGAACCTCAGTCCTGTGGCAGATGCCACCTGAATCCCCCAGGTGAATGCCCAGTGATTCCTGGTGAGATCTGGGGTTGTTTCCCAGCAGCTGTTGGGCTTTGCTCAGCTTTTACCAGTTTGGGTTGTTCCCAGGGACCTGAAAGCTGGATGGGAAGTGAAGATGGCAAAAAAGAGCAAAGAAACGTGTCTAGGTTAGGTCTCCTGGTAGATGGAGCTTCTCTGGTTTCTCGGGGTAGATACAGCTTCTCTTTACATTTTTAGGAATCCCAAAGATCTGCTTTTTGTCACGTACAACCATCATGCACCCCTGCAAATAGAAGGCAGAACACTGCAGTTCCAGTTTGGTAGTAGAACAATTGTGGGTAAAACAGTGCCCACAGTTTCTTTTAAAAATTGCAATAAACAACAACAACAACAATTTCACACATTTTTTCCTTTTGGGATTTTTGTGGTTGGTCAGGGAGAGATGTAGGGCTTCCTCTGGCCATGTACCTTATTGCAGATGGAAAAAGGATGTGTCTGTATTTCTGACCACGTTCCAAGACCCAGTGCAGGTTTTGTTCACATTCAAATGTGTCCCTATGAAGAGTGAGGACTGATTCCATTGTGGCTTCTGGTTGTAACTGATAGAAATTTTGCTTTTGGGAACTTTGGTCTGTTTCTGCTCTTTGTTGTGTAAGGCACTGTCATGGGGGGTGTTTAGAGCTGATTAAAAAGCACGAAAATCTTCAGCCAAATATCTTGCTGCATTCCCCATGAAGGAAAGCAACAAAGCTGGAAGCACCTTAAGGGTGATGATGATGTTTCCAAGCATGGCTCTCCATAAACCCTCTGTTTTGCCTTATCCTATCAGGAGTCTCCATGGGGCCAGACCACAGCAGCTAATTTCTTTGGATATCAAGAGATTTCAAAATGCGCCATCTTGCCTTTTGGCTTGTTAAAGACTGCCCTTACTTGTAAGGAGAGGCAGAAACTGCCTCTGAGCATTGTCCTGGCCAGAGGGTGGGAGTCTGGATGAAACTGGACCTTTGCTTTGTCTCAAGTATCTTCTTTTGCCTGCAAAGGCTCTTGTCCAGGTGGCAGGTAAGTCATGGGCTCAGCCTGGGAATCTCAGACAGCAGGCTTGAGAGCAAACCCAAGCCTGCCATGTTTTCTCAGATGGATGGGCTGGTTTTTGTAATGATTCCTCTCTGTGCAGGCACAGCTCTGGGTGCTGAGCTGCTGGATTGCAGGAGCATGGCTGCAGCAGCGAGGGGCAGTGGTCCCTGGGGAGGCACAACTGGCATGTCTGAGCTTTAATGCACCTCCACATCCAGCCCAGCTGGTGCAGGGACCTCCACCCACTGCTCTGCTGATGTGCAAGAGGGTGGGGAGGCAAAGGATGGTTTCAGCAGAGAAATCCTAGATGCTGCTTAGAGACCCAGGAACAACTGGGAGGGCTAACCCTGTACCTTAGCCCAGCCCCAACCCTGGCCCCTGGGTCTCAGCATTATTATGTAGCTCTGCAGGCAGCAAAGGGCAAATGTTTTTGTTTTTTTTTTTTGCATAAAACATCTCCTTGGAGGGCATTTTCCCAGGTGATAGCCAGAGGGATACTGGGAAAGAGGAAAGGTCCAACTTGCTGTGTGGAAGTGGCCACAGTATTTTCAAGGTATATAAATCAGTGTCTCTGGATTTGTCTGGAAACACGGGAGAAAGAAACACCATTAACCAATCATACTTTTCCCTTTTCTTCCCCATTTTACATTATTTCTTAGTTTTTTTTTGTTTTGTTTTGTTTTGTTTTGTTTGTTTGTTTGTTTGTTTTAATCCAGAATGCAGATGAGCTATTACCTAGCTTTCAGTGAGTTGTACTAGTGCCATCACAATAGACCAAGCCTCCAAACTGGTTCCTCTGTGTCTCAGAGCAGCTTCATCCCTTCAATCCTGCCTGTTCTCAGAAGTCTCAGTAATGTTCCTGGCTGCACTAATGAAGGACTTACCTGCACCAGGTGAAGGGGAAAACCCATGTTTGTTGTTTTTTAAAATTACCTGTTTTCTTTGTTGCATCTATAATTGCCCACTGATTTTTTACGTGGCTGTGAGGAGACTTGATAAAGGTACTGTTGTACCATGGATTATTTCACTTAATGCACTCAACAGTAGGCAAGACTCAGATGCTTTCTGCATCTTTTGTGCTTTTCTTTCCTAACACAGCATCAGTAAAGCAAAGCACTTCTAACAATCTCCTGGCAGCTGACAACTTTCCCTGCTTTCCACTTTATTTATTTTCTGAAGAGCAGGTGAGTCATAAACGACCCCGAGGCTGGGATAGCAGAGTAATTCCACTGCTCCCACTGCAGACAAAGTCTGATTTTCAAAGATAAATAGATCCCATGTCCTGGGAAGGGTCTGTCATTGCCACCAAGGTACCAGCATTGGCTCTCCCTCCCCCGGGTTGCTGAAGGATGCTCTGTC